TCCTGTCTTTCCTGCTTCTGCTGCTGTGTAGTCCATGGATGGAATTGGAGCTTGCAGTGCCAAAAAGAATCCTGTTTGTGCCTAGACTTTGCTTGCTCTAACCTAATGCCTGCCTGAGATAACACCCTCTCTGAAAGTATCTGAAACCCCGAAAGAAAAACTGGTTTAGATAGTCTGCACTTGAAAGCCAGTTCGTAGACTGTTCTAATGTGTATTAAAAGCACACTAGCTATCCGTGAATAAAACCAAGTGCTGACAAACTCATTTTCTAGAAGACAGGTATCCACGGATTGGCATGAATAGGAGGATAGCTATTACTGACGAGCTCCGTGTGCAGACAAGTTAGTACAGCTAGCGAGGGCTGGAAGGAGCCGAGGCATGACTGAGCCTCATAATTAGACCTAGATTAGACTTTTGCTGGAGGGGAAGGCAAGGCAAGAACAGCTCTGAACTCCTATCGTCACCTGTAGTCTTTGAACAGAGACATCCCTCGCCATCCCAGGGAAGTCGGCAGCGCCAAGCCGGGCTGGAACGAAGCCCTGCTATCTCTCCAGGAGCATTGCTGACAGGGCAGGTGTGGGCTTGTGCCGGCCTGTGGTGTGACCAGCTCCGGGTTTTCTCCACAGACGCTCTGCTCTAGGAGGGTTCGGCGGGGCTGCCAGAGCCGCAGTACCAGGGGACGACCTGCAGTACTTGAGGTGCCCCGCTCCATGATGGTACGGGCACCTGAGGCCCATGGACCTCGTCTGGAGAGAGCGCACATCCTCCCCTCGAGCTTGAGCCCTGGGCACTGTGCCCTTGGCCCTGTGCAGGTCCCCTGGAGCTACTCCAGAACTAACAGCAGCTGAACCCCCGCCTGCCTGTGTCTGAGGTGCCATCAGAGACCGGCTGTCAGGTTTCCCCGGCATCTCATCACAGCAAATCGCTGCTCTTAAAACGTCAGGGTTGCCTCTACATTTGATTGACAGGGGATCAAACAAGTCCTCGCCGCCTGTGTGTTTTGTAGATGCAGGCATGCCAGTGCTGCTTGTGTGAGTTTTGGTGGTGGCGTGGCCATGGCAGATGGGCAGGTTTCAATCTCCAGGCGTGCGTGGGAACTGGGCTGTACCAGTGCTAGCCCAGGGAACCTGCTGTGACTGACTACCCAGATGCACCGCTTCTCCACTGCTGTCATTTGCCGCTATGGTTTTGGGGATTGTGTGCAGTTAAGGGCGAAGACTGTACACCATGTGAGCCTTGCACGCCTGTCCGTGCCTGTCGGCATCCAGCTCAGGGTCTGCGGCGGAGGGTCATCACGTGGTGGTCACCTGTGCCCTCTGTCCAGGTGTTGAGTGCCCAGCGTTCCCGCCAGGCTCCATAATGGCTTGGGCTTGCAGGATGTGCATGGTATGGGAGCAGCACTGTACACATCTTTGGAATCCAGAAAAGGCTTCATCTAAGGTTTCTAGTGTGGCAGAGGTAGCTTTGCTGCCTGGTCTTTGTGATCAGCATCTCTGTTGCACCCACTGAAGTCACGGTTGGATCATGTAACTTCTGCTGGTCTGTGGCTCATCGCAAACTGCTAATTCTGATCGAACAGTCAGCTCCAGAGCAGCAGGCTGGTCCTGGAACTGTGGATCGGCCGCTGTGAAGGATTTTCTGATCCCTCTCGTTTCTGTGAGCAAAGGATCATTGCAGATAGGAAGAGATTTCTTGCACAAATGCTGGTTTCAGATTTGCTTTTAGCTCTGTGATAAGCCTCCGCGCAGACTTTGGACGAAGTCAACTGCGTGATACTTAGCTCAGTGCATTCTTTGTAAAATCATGAAGAAACCAGAAAAGATTGTCAGTGGTAATCATGGTGATTAGATTAGATCATTTCAGGGTTTCAGCCTCCCCAGAGTAAACATCTGCTTTCAATACCGTAAATAGCAAGATGCTGCACTTTAGGCAAACTTGGCCTCGATCCAAGGGAATGTCATTGTTTACTGCTTTTCCTATATATCTTCCTTTGCTTTTCAATCTATGCCATGCTGTACTTCTGTGTGTACCCTTCCTTTGTTTCTTTTCAGCCATGTAGGAGTATGCATTGTGGTTGCTCAGTATTGAGTGCTTCTGTTGCTTGTTATTGAATGCTAGCTCTGGTGTCATTCCAGTTAAGTGCTATGTACCTTTTGTCTTTGAAAATCAATGGAGAGCAAATTAAAAAAGAACTAGTTTTTGTGGTACCTTTCATTTAAAAAAAAAATCCCATTTATGTTTGTTCATGATGAGAGAGGTTTGTGGGGAGGCCGGTCTGGGAGACAAAATATGGTTTGTGCTTTTAATAAGCATCGGGGAACCGTTTTTTCCTTTAGAAAACCTTGAATGCTTCACAGCCACTCTCATGTAAACAGAAAAACAATATTCCAGGGCATTATTTTGTTTACAGCAGATGTTGCCTGGTGCTACAGAATCTTAATTTGCAAACAAGTCAAGGGTCTTGGGAATTCTCCTGAGATCTTGGGGGGAAATAGGTAAGATGAGCCACCACAGGCCATGTTTGTGCTGCAGGTGTGCATGTACAGGTAGAAGGAAGCACCTGAGGTGGCCTGTTGCTAGTACCTTCCTGCTGGGAGTCAGGGGTATGGTTCCAGATGTGTGGTGATAGCAGGGAGGATCAGACTGCAGCAAGTTCAGACTCCTCTGGGACTTGGGAAGATGCTGAGGTCTTGTTGTTTAAACACTGCAGTGAGCTAGGAGCCTTGCAGAACTGAACTTGGCAAAGAAGGAGGTTTGCTGAAGTTCCCTTAAAACGGGAAAAAACATGCTGAAAATAATTGAGTTTCTGGCGCTTTAAAAGCTTCTTAATGTTCTTCAAGTTCTTTTTTTTCTGCAAAAGTATGTCCTTTTGATTGCAGTTCAGGCTTAGCAGAGTACAGTACATCTTGCCACAGAATGAGTAAATGAGCTCTGTTCTGCAGCTGCTATTGAATGACGATGTTGGAGCATGCCTTGGCTTATCAGTGAGGGCTGCCTAATGTATTCCACCCAGCCTACCTGAGCCTGCTCTGCAGCAGCAAACCCAATTAACTCCTACCTGCTGTATGAATGGTTTTAGCAGTTACGGAGGTGCTTTGTTTTACAGTATTTCAGTAAGACGTGCCAGAGCGTGCACTGGCCGTTTCTCGCACACCTCTTGCTCTCTGCAGCCCAGAAAATGCATCAGGAGCTTGCCACGGCACAGTCTGGTGAGGCGGCTCATGAGCAGAGCGTGGCTCATTAGCTTTACATTCATTAGTTTCTAAAAGCCTTCTGAATCAGATTTGGGGGCATGAGGAAGAGATTTACAGTCTACCCTGCCATTGTGACAGAATGTTCCTAGTCAAAAAAAGATAAAATGGGCCTCTCCGGACCATTCTAAGGGGTTTTATTGTTTAGCTGTTGTTTTTCAAGATGCCTCAAACTATTTGGATTCATGTTTGTCTGTTATCTTCAACTCAGTCCTCCCACAAAAAGGCAAATACCTGCTTTTACTGAATTATTAACAACAATAGATGGAGCTTATGTATCAATGAAAATTATGGACGTTTCCCAAGGCAATTGATTTAAACGGAGTTAAATTTAGTGGAAGCTTCTATTGGTGTAATGAATGCTCATTATAGAGCCTAATGTGCTTTAAGGGCTTGAAAACCTTCTCAGTAGGGAAGTCAGGCTGCTGTTTTCCAGCAGAGGCACAGATGCTGTACCATGGCAGTGCTGTCACCGCAGCCGTACCCCATCGCTGCGCCCAAACATGTCTCTTTAACCTTGCGTGTTTTCTCCTCTTGCAGAAGACCATCTCCCAGCTGGCTTCCCGACCATTGACATGGGCCCGCAGCTGAAGGTGGTGGAAAAGGCCCGCACAGCCACAATGCTCTGTGCTGCCAGTGGTAACCCTGATCCTGAGATCTCCTGGTTCAAGGACTTCCTGCCTGTCGACACTGCAACTAGCAATGGGCGAATCAAGCAGCTCCGCTCGGGTAAGGCAGCAAAGCAAGTAAGCCTTCCCTACCTCCTCACTCTTCCTCCCCTTTCTCTCTACTTGCTGGTGTTACTTTTTCCCCGAAATACAATTCTGAACCCAAATGTGAATTTGATTTGAGCTTGTTTCTTTTACAATATAAAAACAGTTTTCGGAGCTGATCTTCTCTGGCAGGATATCGTGGCTTGTTAAAAGGAGGCATTAGATTGGACATGCCTTTTGGAACATCAGCTGGATTCCTTCTTCGATAGACCGTCTTGACATTGCCCCAAATCCTTGGTAGGCTCAGACATTTCACTACCAACTCAACAGGTCTCTCATACTTTTGAGAGAAGCACAGTGCAGATCAGGACAGTGAGATACTGGTTGAGATTTTACAATCAGTAGTCACTACTACTTCACTCTTTACGTAGACTCTGCAAGACAGTGCTCTGCTTTCTCTTGAGATGTTTATCATTCTTGCTATGTGACACCACAAGAATAAAGAAAATTCCAAGAAGCAGCTATTCTGTGGATTTCAAAGAAAGGTGGACACAGTTTGAAATGTACAATTTCTTTTTGATTTTTTTGTTTGTTTGTTTGATTAGCCAAATACTAGCTTTTGAAATACAGATGCTTAGTTCCTGTGGGTTCTAACCACTAAGAATGCACTCTTTTTAGCAAGGAACTCTTGTTTTTCTGCTGCACTGTTCAGTCTCCCAGGACTGTAAGGCCCATTAGAGAATTAAAGAAAATGAAACATTGCTTTATTCACTGATGAAGTGCAGCTCCCTAGCGTGAATTGCAGTGGCTATTTAACAATGCACAGCAGCTGTAGTTTGGGAGGAAAAGCCCACAGCAGCCTACACGAAGGGAACAGAGCTGGAACAGCTTTGGTCTAGAAAGGTCTCACGCTTAAGTAAGAGGCAGACTGCCTTGCCTGGCCATGATGTATCTCTGGGCACTCAAAAGCCATTTGTTATGAGTGCTGCTGCCAGGGCAACACCATCTTCCTCCTAGCAAGGTGAACGTCTTGACATATTTCCCCATAGCAGAAGCCCTCTGCATAAATCTGATGATGCTTGGATGATAAGAAGTAGGCTTGTACTTGGGGGAGTGGGTAATGAGACATCACTCATCAAAAATAGAACCCAGCCTGACACTCCTGATCCCACCTTGATGTACCAGTGAGTGCTAATTATACTAATGCATTTATAGCTTATGAAATTTCCCAGTGACCTTTAGCTTATCTCCCCCACAACATGGTTTAATCTTGATCTGTTTGTGCTGTAAGAAAATATCACGCTTGTTAATTATTCTGAGAAGCTTTAGGAAGCAGCAATAGGAAAGTGCACATGGATGTGTTTCACTTCATAGCTGACTAAATCAGCATCAGAAATTACCATAAATGAGCAGCAAGGCAGCGCCTGATGCACTTGCTGTACATCCTCCAGCCTCCTTTTCGCAGGCACTTGGCTGCCTCTCTACCAGCTGCTTCACATGTTTAGTGAGATAGAAAGTTTAAAAACAAACTAGTAAACCCTGTCACTGTGTCCAAGTTCTGCTTCCTATTTGCTGTTCTTGAGCAACATCTCAATTGAATATTTCACCTGGGATTCAAACTCTAGAGCTGGCTGCTTGCTGAAGACACAGTAATTACCAAGGGAGGTGTCAAGGGAACCTTTTAGAAATCAATGAGCAGCACACATCCTCAGACTCGCAAAAGAAATTGATTAGCTCTCTAATATAGCGAGGGAGGTTTCCACAGCTCAATGCAAGAGACTTCCAAATATGAGCGAAGTTTTATTTTCAGGCACCTGGTGATACGATGCCAAGATTCACCAAGGCTCTGCTCCACCCTGGCATGAGTGGGGAGCAAGAAGTTTACCACATCTCATGGGCCAGAAATTCAACCCTTGCTTGCATTTGTGGCTTTTTCCTATATTTGTAGTTGATATAAAGTAGGGCCTGCACTTTGAAGTGCCTGAGTCCCACTTACGTGGCTGCAGTTATCCTGTGTGAGCAATGTGATGGGTTGGGCAGTCTCTGATCCATTCTGCAAGGTGCTAATTGAGCACTCCAGCACTACACCATAATGGGGCAGAGTTGTTTTTCAAAGAAAAGAGTATTTAAATAGATACCTCATTATATGGGAGAGTTTAATAGTTTGCAAAGTCTCTGCTCCATTAAGATCATATCTTACAGCCAGCCTGGCATATCTGCATGAATGTCAGTTTATACTATCTCAATCTAAATATACGCTCATTTAATTTCATTTAATTAAAACCCAATAAAAGCTAGACAGATGTAATATAGTTAAAATAGCTACAGCATGGTGTGAGCCCAGTATTGCATATATGGAGTGTCCGACCTTCAAGGAGTACATAATATATTATTATTATTCAGATGTACTAAATATAGGTCATAAAGGTCAAAACAGCTTTGGAGTCTGACTTAGAGAGGGGGTTGAGGGATGATTTCATTTCTTCAGGCTCCTAGTGTGGAATAAATAGCTAGAGGTAAAGCAGCAGCATATTTAGGAAAGGTGCTGTCTTCTGACACTCAGGGTTATGTGGGCTGGCAGTGCTCTGGGGGCTTCAGGCAGGTCTTTGAACTTGCCTGCAGTCAGATCATGAGCCCAAGGGGGCTCTGAACATCAGTTTCTGGAGGTCTGTTCATCTTCTGGCAAGGTACTAGAGAGTTTGTGGTTTAAGACAACCAACCTGTCATCTTAGGCTCTTTTAACCCCAGAGGACTGGTGTCTTTGTCAGGAGCAAACACACTTTATGAATCTGCCCTGTAGCCTACCATCCCTCATTTACTAATTTCATTTCTATGTGCGTAGATGCACGTTTCTCATTCAACCTTGTGACAGCATAACTCTTCACATTTACAGGGCTTTTTTTCCCCTTTCTCCCAAATACATAGATCTTTCCTCATGAGTAATGCTTAATTCTTTTTTAAGTCCGGCTCTTGGGTAGTTTTGCCAGGACATGTTGGGCTATTTGCTCTAGAGATGAGAACACTAAAAAATACAGTTTTTCATCTCCATTGTCATGGATCAAGGCAAAAGCAAGGTCTCTGACTCATGCTGGTTGTAGCAAATTTCTCCTTTGCTCATCTTGCTAATACTTTGCACCTCTTGTGGAGAGGATGCTTTTCTGCAAATGCAGTGACTCGGGACAACTCCCTGCTCTGCCCCAGGGTGCCTAGCTTCAGTCATTGCCTCTCAGTCCCTGACACAGGATCTAAAGCCAGCTCTGCGCTGGGAAACCTCCCTAGCATGCTCGCCCATTTAAAACCAGCTTAGCTGAACTGATTTTAAAGCTGTCCAGACATTGTAGGGTTGCAGGAGATGTACGTATGAGTTCTGGCAGCAAGGATCAGTGCTATGTTCTAACCGTGTTTTAAAATTAGTTGATGATGTGGTGGAAACTCTCTTAATATAGATCAGATTGTACTGATGCTTTGCAGTTCTTCTGTAAAGATCCTTGGATCACAGGCTCCTGAAGACTTCAGAGCGACTCTGATGGTGTTCATACTCCCAAAGTTCTTGAATACTTCCCGTGAGTTTCATAGTTGGAATTGCTGTTCGACCTGGCTCTTCAGAAAACTTATTAACAAAATGTCAGATTAGAATAAATAACTATTCTGAATGTTATACAAATATCTTTGCCGTGTAAGGAAACTCCGGAAACCGAGGGAGCATCGTCACTTTTCATCTAGTAAAGAACTTGGTCTTACAACAAGTATCATTCTCTTTTAATCACTGTCAATTAACTGAGTTATGGAACCGTGCTCTAGACCCTAGTGTGGCTTTCAGGCAATTAACCACCAGAGAGGGCTCTGCAGGGGATTTCGGCCATTCTCTGAGAAGGTGTAGGTGCCTCTAACAAAGAAGTGGTGGGAGCTGGCTCACCAGATCATCTTGCTGCATTTATGCTCTCAGAGTTACCAGTAAGCATGTCACTTTAGTCTTGATCCTCTAGGTAAAAGCACTACTTATTTGGAAACAAAGGAATAACCCGACAGCCACAGAACAAACTTGCAAAAAGAGGTGCTGTGTGTCCCAGTGAAACGGCCGTATCCCGCTTCACTGGTAGTAGCAGGCAGTCAGTACCCAGCAGGAGGACATTCAGCTCCCAGCAAAGACTGCTTTCAGTCCAGACATCAGGTGGACATTGACGTGCGGCAGGGTGTGTAGGGACAGCCCACGAGGATGGGAATTGGGGAGTATTATCCAAAAGAATCAGGAAACCCACGCAAGGATAGATGCTTTCTCGGAAGGGACTGGCTGGACGAGGGTGGAAGCGGTGGCATGGCCGACCGGTTGAGAGCCGAAGGTCTGTGTCCTGGAGAGCCTGTGCTGCACACCTGGGTCTTGCTGTGTGAGGCGCACACAGCGGTGGTGGGATCCACACAGGCTCCCTGTTGGCAACCAGCGGCAAACAGCCAGCCTGCTCTGTAGTACTTTCACTTCTGAAAATAGTTTCCCCTAAAACTATGTTAGGAAGCAGCCAGAGGCACTGTTGGAGTTCTCTGGGATTCAGCATTGCGCTGCCTTAGTGCCCAGCTGCAGCCAGCAATAGCCACGGTTTCTCTGTGTGATGTTTTGGAGTGATTTTTTGGTGGTTTAGGTTCCTACAGGGAAGTGGTGTGTTAATAAGTCTGGGGCAAGTTTGTCAGCAGAGTAAAGTCCCTCCTCTATCAGCATCTGTCCTCCACACCGGGAAACACTGATGCAAATAATCCCAGGGGGGTTTCCAGTGTGTCATCCTCTGTTTTGCCTTGCTTTAGGCACCTGGCTGGGTGCTTCTGGTACACAGAGATGCCAGGGTCGGCATTCGTTCCTGACTGAAGTGAATGTATGGGGTGTTGTTCAGTGTCTGTTACCATGAAGGGGAAGTAAACTCTCCTTCCTTATGAGTGTTTCAAGCCTTTCCAACACGGGGAATTGGGATTGAAGTTTGATCTTGGGGTACCCTTTGCATAGGGCAGTCTGGTGATCAAAAGGTGCAA